AGTTTTTTGCTCGTTCCTTTATGTCAGCACAGGTTTCCAATTTACGCATTTTGCGACTCCGTAAATATGGTATTGCACGGCCGTGCATATATTTTGACGTGACGTCATTAGCGTTATACAAACAAAGTGTAAAGACGCGCTAAATGTTAGCGTTATACTTTATTACCCTTCCAGATTTTTTCCGCCTTTTTGATTGGATATTGATCACCCGAAAGAAATTGATATAACCGAGCCAGACGGGTAATATACACACTAAATTTCCCCGTTTGGTACCCAACGTTGTAAACAACATGCGCCGAGGTGATGCGCGTACGGTTCGATTTTACGCGGTGTAAATTCCGATTTAAAAGCACTTTTTAACTGTCAAATGATCAATATTTACCAAAGTAATGATACATATGACCATCAGTATCAAAAACAAATATGACCTTGTGAAAGCTTGATATTAATTACAAAAAAAGTGCGTTCAATAGACTACTCCTTTTCTCTTGTTTACTTTCGTAAGGTGCAGGAAAAATACGTCATGTATTTATGTGACGTCATGTTGTGACGAAGAGGTATCCTAAAGGGAATCTTATTTCGACGTTTCATTTGAAACAGCAATGATTTTTTAAAAAATCGTCTAAACTCGGCAGGGGAAGGGTAATAAAATTATTATTTTGGTTTTGGAGTGATATATGTGGATATATTACCTGTTAAGATTTTATATCACCCGAGCCGTTAGCCAGAGGCTCGCATAATATTATCTTATTCAACTCGTGCAATAAATTCAGTATTGAACTTACACTCATTCAATATCCTCTATGTATTTGTTGTTGTTTTATAGTAGATTACAGAATAATTTATTTACTCTCGACATAAGAGAGTATAGCAGAAAAGTAAAGTATGCACGTACGCCAGTAGAGATGATTGCTTGGTGAATTAAATATAACGCAGCTTGATCAAGTACAAGAAAGCGGATGACAAGTACGAGTATGTCTAACACCAGATCACATTGAGAACACCGGTTCTCGTCCGGTCATCGGAGGTAAGCAACGTCGAGCCCGGTCAATACGTAGTTGGGTTTCCACTGGTGATACCTGTGCAGTACATTTTTGGACATATCATTTCCACTGATGAAAGTTTTATGCTCGTTCCTTTATGGTAGCAGACATCTCCAATTTATTGGTTTCGCTGTATTTACAATGATTTCATCCGCGCGTCGTGTCCATGACGTCTCCCTATTGTGTATGTTGCTCGGTGAGCATTTGATATTTTGCAGAACAGTACAGACGCGGTATGCACGCACGCCAGTAGAGACAGTTGCTGGCCGAATTCCTGCGGTGCATGTTAATGTACATATATATTTATTATTTTGACCGGTTGAAATTGTTGTTATAAGGAAGGAAAAAAAAACATATAAATTAAAAACAGAATTGGTATTTGGTATAAATGTTTATATAACACTGACGTTCAAATTAATTATAGGATTATTTAAAATACATGTATAAAGATTTGCATCATCACCACTAGATCTGCGAATTTAAGTTTTAGGTCGAGCTAGCTCGCAAAATCCAAGTAAACCTCTGTTGGCATCAACTGGTATCGATACCAGATAAAATTATACCAATATTGGTATTCGATTAATTATTCAAAAAATATGTCCTTAATATAATTTAATATTATTCATATAGTTTCCATATGTTGGTATATACCATACGAATACGAATACGAATTCGTATATACCATACACACTTTGTTTTAATAATTAATAAGTATTTCACAAATATACCAACAAATATTATAACACAACCGCGTATTGGTATTTGATACCAATTGGTATTTGGTATCGCGCGATTAATAGAACACACAGAAGAAAAAGGGAAACACTTTATTTAATAAAACTTGGTTGGTATAACTTTACCTCTTCATCGCACATTTTTATAAATTGGTATATTCCCGTTGGTATATTTTTATTTAACCCAGAGTGACCGTATGAATGCCGTCCATGTTCGACATTGTCTTGAATTTCGCGCCAGCTGCGCTTTTATATGACCTGTGACGTTATTGCTTGAGATTTAGTGGCGCGAGCTAATGGCGGTTCTGAACACGGAATCATATAAAAATACACATTCTTTTGATGATTACATGCAAATTTTACTTTTATAAACACAATTTGCTGCACAAACAGTAAGTTCTTTAACTTTATTTCCCGTATATATAAATATATAAGAGTTTAATACGAATCAGTTGAAGTAATCAGCATATTACAGGGGACTCAACATTGCTGATTTTGAACACAAAATTCCTATGAATACTCCGATAAAATATTGCGGTGCACAGTAAAACATTAATCTGAAAATGAACAAACATATCATACATAGACAACAAAATGTGATTATTATCTAAAATTAACAAATATCAACAATAGAATGATTAAGCACATTTAATAATCTGCTTTATAAAAATAGTGGGTGGGGTAACGAACATTTTGGGATTATAAGAGTTACTGAATATCAGTTCGTTACAGTCTGTTAAACCGTTTATATGCCATGCGATCAACTCACCAACAAATCACCTGATTTTCTAACTAGTTCTTATTCTTTAAACAGTTGGTTTGAGCGACCATGTTTCTAGGTTTGATATTTCTATAAAATTGATTTTTTTTCTTTTAAGATGTTACTCAAGGCGTTGATGTCATTCTGGCTATTGTGTACAGTATATGCACCTGATTTCCGCCCATCTTTATCATTGAATTGTCATTGTGTTTTCTCTTTTTAATCATTTTATTTCCACCCATTTGAAACCTAAATACACCAACAATCAACACATACTCAAATCCAATATACATAAAGATTATAAATCAGGTTCATAATACAAATATGTGTGTTTTTCTTCTGAATTCGAAATGTGTATTATCATTATTCAGGGGATACTGCAAAAATCATTTGCACCGGCAGAGCTATTCAAAAACTGACTTCTTACGCTATCTTTCACGTGGAATAAGTGCAGCTGAAACATACTGTGTCCTACTTGGGTCACTTAAATGAAACATTTAAATCTATTGACATATAGGATTTTTTATATTAAAGTCTTGTATCGCCCTTTTGTTTTCTCATAGTTAAAGTATCGAGATTTTACATTCTCGCGTGAAACTCTTGAACCATTGAACGTTGACTTTGTCTCATGCAGAACTTTAATCTTCTTAAAGATCATAATGTACTAACTAATTCGCGATGATTAACATTAATTCTCGGATGTTTCTTTCGAGAACCGTAGCTTATTTAAGTATCAGTGACTATAGTAAAAGTTCTTCGGAAGATAATGTTAAATCCGGCCACTTATTTCTATTAACAAAAGATACTGGTAGGACAGCGTGCTCGGGAATTCTCAATGCTTGATAGTGAAACGAGAGCCGGAATAATGATGTAGAATTGTCTAAGTTCAAAAAGTAGTTTTGGAGACGCAAATATAGAAATGCGGAATGATTGCGCAACTCGCAATCTCGCTTTTCTTACCAGTAGTTTGCTTCAAATACAAATACTGAATTTTTTGGTGGATGTTTTTCATCGGATACTGTCCTTAACCTGTTAACATTGCTTACTGTATGTGAACAAGGAAACTTACTAATTTCAGGTCCAAAACATTGACGTTATACATGTTGCGAGTCTTTGTTAATGTTGATCAATTTTGATCGGAAATAATCGATTCTATTATCATTTATATGATTATTATATGCAGCCATTTTTACATCGTTTATTAATGAATGAACATGAATTTTGTCCGATTCTGTTGAAATAAGGGCAAGCAAATAGCATCCCGTCTACACCCAACACCGTCTAAAGGTCATGTAAATATTTTATATAATTTTATAAGAAGGCGATCTTTAAATTTTCAGCAAGACTATAAATTTATTTTCTAATTAGATTTATTGATTATTAAATGTGCTTATTTCTTTTGTTTGTTCTTTACACTTAATCGTCATATAAGTCAGATACAATTACTTGTATCCTCTTCGCCTCGGACAATGTGTTGTTTATCCTAGCAGACGGTCTTCCTACGTCTGTAAGAAGACATTTTTAAAGAAAAACTCGTACTTTATCCATTCCATGATGGTGTAATTCGATGATAGTGATTCATTTTTATTTCTCGTTTATTTCAAAAGATTTTCAACTATGAAATCATCAAGAGAAACAAACAAATCTAAAATTATGTCTATTATTTGAAAGAATTACTGACGGCAAATGTCATATCATATCACATAATTTGTTTTAACACATATTTAAAATATTTATAGTTTTTCATGGAATACGATGATCTAGGAATAAATCGTTTTTGTTATATAAACTTAAAACATATCTGACGTCGAATGAAAATATTTAATTTCATAATGAACTCGTGCTACAGAAAAATGTTTCGAAAAAAATACACTCTACATTTACAGTAAGAAGCCGATACTAGAATATCCTTAATGACAAGTCACAAAACACGTCTTAAATTACGTCGAAACTTTATATTTATAATTTGATATTATCATAATGGCTTACATTACACCGGTTAAAGGTTCGCGCCTTGTTCTTATCTCTAATAACTTTAAAAGATAACCTTTTCAGTAGAATAGACAGCTAAAAAGTAATTAATAAAAGTACAATGACAGTTATTTCCGATTTGGTTCAGATATCTTAACTTTATTAGATCAATACAAAAATATTTATTACTTTTGACTGTCAAAAACAGATATTTAAGTACATATAAGTATTGGTTTGCACAAAGAGAACATTGAAGGGGAACTCGTTGAAGACTTTTAACGCTCGGTTTATGTATTTTTATCAGTATATTATACACAGTATCATTTTCAATATCTAGTAAAGGAATTGAGGAAACACAAAGGACATTTTAATGCATGTTGTGGTGGCATTCATTGTATTGAATGAAAGTGTTTTTGGATATGTTTTATATATCAAAATAATCGCAACAAAATAAACAGGATTATTACAGAAAACACATTTCATGATCTAAAAATGGTTAAAATCAGCAAAGAAATACTACTCACTTTATTTGTAACATTTGCTTCTATCTCAATTGTACATGCAGCATCTATAAATGACACAAAAACTCTGCTTTCGGATCTGCTTACTGACTACAATAAGGAAGTGCGACCAATACAAGACCAGTTTGCTGCAATAAATGTAACGATCATTGCATATATGAAAAGTATTCAAGAATTCGATGAAGTTCAAGAGAAATTTTCTTTTGTTGGTGCTTTGGCAGTAACATGGCTAGATGCAATTATGGTTTGGAATCCATACTCTTACGGAGGACTTTGGCAGCTTCCGGTTTCATATAAAGACGTTTGGGTTCCAGAACTTATTCTATCCAGTCCGTCAAAAGCAGTGAATACCCTCGGCAAAAGCTGGAATAAAGTGAGATACTACGCTAATGGATTAGCTGTTTGGGTTCCCGTCGATCTGATCGAAAGCACATGTTCAGTGAATGTCCGAAACTATCCATTTGATACTCAAGAGTGTGTAACTTCTTTTAACTCAATGGGATACGAAGAAAGTGAAGTGCTTCTTATTCCCGGCCAATCCGAATTTGATTTAAGTATTTATCAAGAAAATTCTCTTTGGGCAATTGCCAAAACAAAGGTTAATGTACAAACTGTTGGCGCTTCGTCCCAGATTGACCTCGTTGTGTCTTTGAAACGGAAGCCGTCATTTGTCGTTATAAATGTTATTCTTCCAATTCTTTTTCTAAGCCTACTCAACACTCTGGTATTTATACTTGTTCCCGAATCCGGAGAGAGAGTTTCGTACTGTGTCACTGTTTTGCTAGCTGTTGCCGTGTTTATGACGATTGTAAGTGACATGCTTCCACGAAGCTCGGAACCTGTTCCTCTGATTTCATATAAACTGATGATGGATATGATAATAAGTTCTCTAATAGTTGTGGTAACAATACTCAACCTCCGAGTTTATAATAAAGATAAAAGTAGACCAGTACCGACATGGCTTCGATCTTTATACCACATTTTAACGTGCCGTAAATGTAAAAATACAAAAGTTTTCACCTTGAAGAGAGATGAAAATTCTTCTAAAATAAAAGGGATGACTTTACATGAAGATGCGACTCAAGATATGGGTAGCAAGTTTCGCCACCTCAAAGACGCAATTAAAAACGTCGACGACATAACGTGGAAACAGATTAGTTTCATGATCGACTGGATCTCTTTTATTTTGTTCACCACAGCCTCGATTCTCAGTTTTATCTGTTTTGTTGCAACTACGTATAGTAACTAGATGTTCATATGTTTGAGTATATCGGCATAAGCTTTTAAAGTAGGATACACATTTGCACGTAGTTAACAAATGCACGAAATAAAGTTTAATTACTGTGTGATTATTTCATATCCTCCGCAGCCCGGCAATGTGTAACACACATTTAAAAGTTCAGTGTTACAAGTTGAACATTGTAATGGTTTGGTTGTATTTTTTCTGTAGTTGAGAAGTTGGTTGGCTGACCGAAATGAGGGAAGATGTATTGGTTGACTGGAAGAAGAGAAGTTGTATTGGTTGACTGGAAGGAGGAAAGTTGTATTATATAGCTGGAAGGAGAGAAAAAGTTGTATTGGTTGATTGCAGGGAGAGAAGTTGTATTGGTTGACTTGAAGGAAATAAAAAGTTGTACTGGTTGATTGCAAGGAGAGAAGTTGTATTGGTTGATTGCAAGGAGAAAATTGTATTGGTTAACTGCAATAAGAGAGATTGTACTGGTTGACTGCAAGGAAAGACAAAATTGTACTGGTTGACTGCAAGGAGAGAAGTTGTATCGGTTGACTGCAAGCAGAGAAGTTGTATTGGTTGAATGCAAGAAGTGAAGTTATACTTTGTGACTTAAATGAGAGAAGTTGTACCGGTTGACTGAAAGGAGAGAAGTTGTATTGGTTGACTGCAAGGGGAGATGTTGTATTGGTTGACTGCAAGGAGAGAAGTTGTATTGGTTGACTGCAAATTAGTTGACCGAAAAGTGACAAAATGCATTATAGATAGTTTTATTCTGGTACAAGACATGTCATAAAACAGCTACAAATTCAATGTCAACATCAATAGATACATGTGGACATGAAGGTGCATGCGTTAATGCCATATATTCAATACAAAAGGCTGACACAACAAAATGCATAAAGCCGAACTTATTTCTATTGCATTATTTGGGAAGTTGTTTACGGTTGACTGAAATCTTGACGAAAACTAGAAATGCGTTGTACAACCAAAAAGTTGAGTGGCTGATCAAGTTCAATATGGTGTAATGCTGGATTAAATAATTGCACGAAAACAAAAAGACAATATGTTACAACAGTCACTTATTCATGGATAAAACAATGAATTTAAGTAATTTTCATTTCAAGGAATATTCACATTTAACTAGTTGCTTTTAGCATTTAGATAAGGGATATTTAGGGGTTACTTTTTTTCTTACTTGAATCTCACTTATTTATTTTCAAGGAGTACACTTTAATCGAATTTGAATAAAAAATAAATCAGAGTGATTATAGCATTTACTAGCGGTAGAACCTTATTAACTATTTTGTTATATATAACATATTTATCGATATATTTAAAATGTATTGAATGTTTGTTTAATGTAAGGGTTATAAAATTACTTTCCGATCAATGCTTGAAAACAAAGTATATATTAATGAACCCTATTGTTTACCTTTCACACGAACCGTGCGTACCTTTTGCATTTTAGTTTTTTGTCTTTTATTTTTAAAGGGCGTAAGCTACTGTTCTGTACAAACATTTAGTGGAAAATGTAGAATGACAATTGTATAATAGAATTTATTAAAACTGAACATGATCTTAGAATATGATAACAGAAACATTGTAAGTGTAAAATTCGGGGTTCACGGAACTCATTTTTGAGATCATGCACATTTTAAATCAAATCAAGTATACAGTTTTAATTCTGTCTACAAGCCTTGTTGCACCGTAAACAGATTACGACGTGTGTCATTTTCCGGTGTTGATCAATATCCCTACCAGGATATCAAAAATAATGAGTTTGTCACCTGACGAAATTCATAAACATTTATGTAAGATATCCTTTCGAAATTGGATGCACGTAAACTGTATCTGTAAGATGTATAACGCATACAACTCATGCGTAAGCTAGATATGGCAAAAGCTGTATACGGTACAAGCCCTGCACTATGGTCTATTCCAGTTTTGTCGCTTTTGCATGGCTGATAAATATGTTTTAATTAAAAAAAAGAGAACGTTTAGTTTATTAGAATTTGCGTTGAAAGACTCGAAAAACTACTAGAACTCGAATGTTTTGTATTTTCAATTAGAGAATCATTAAATAACAATAAAACTAAAATTAGTTTAAAACACCGCACAAGCTTACTATACTTATATTTTGTATAACGTATGAGGCATTTAAAGTTAAATATACCTTTTATACATACTTAAAAGACATTTTTAAAAATATCTTAAGCTTGTTAAAAAGACTTTTTATACATAATAAAAGAAGTTATATACAAACGGACCACTTTAAGGATTTTATTGAATCAACATAACATAAACTTAATGTAAATATTATTTGCTCAATTGTATATATATAATTAGTTCAGCGGACTGGAGAACATGCATTAGTCTACTTCGGGAGCATTTCGATATTATAATGGGTTTTCTATTGTATTAGTTTTTTTATCTATATAAAAAACCTCGTTCACACCAATAGCTTAATAACTTTCAATTTCTTATTGACAAGTCCATTAAGTTAAACATTATAAACAGGTAAATAGTTTCAATTACAGAGATAAATTATGTTTTGAAGATAAACGCATAGATATATGAGCCGCGTCATGACAAAACCATTAAGTGCGTATGCGACCGGCATGGATCCAGTCCAGCCTGCGCATCCGCCCAGTCTGATTAGGATCCATGCTGTTCGCTATCAGTTTCTCTACTTTTAATAGGGTTGGTTGACGAACAGCAAAGATCCTGATCAGACTGCGCGGATGCGCAGGCTGGTCTGGATCCATGCTGGTCGCAAACGCATTACTTTGGTTTTGTCGTGACACGGCTCATATAACTTCGTACGTAATATCTGAAAGAACATGACGTAAAGGATTTGCATGGACTGTAAACATCATAATCCAAGGCAATCGGGACCATTGATAATTAAGATTATCTTAAAAAGTATTGAAGCTTCTGCGGCTATTTATTATGGTTGTGTCGTTTTTCTCTCTTTTTCAATACTTCAATTAAGTTGCCCTATACATCAGCATATTCAAGAAGTGGATTTAAATATGAAAAATGCCTACCTTCAAACATATTCGTAATGATAAAAAAACTTTAAATCAATTGATTTATGTAGGGCTTAAATTATTTGTAATTACGAGCTTTTACCAAACGGGAATCATTAGATAAAGTTACATCAAGAAATGTGTCTGGGAAGTTACATAAACGATATTATACCAGGGTTGCTAAAAACGAAATAGAACTAAGAGTCTTGAATTTAAAATTCCAAATTTAAAATTTTCATATGTACAGCGAACGTAAAATGTTGTCTACATTTTGAGCATAACGTAATGAAACTATTGTGCGAAACGCATATATTCCACCTACACGTTTGATTTTATATTTTAATGACATCAAGTGTAAATCTGACGTCATTCAGACGTGAAATAACTAAACAATCAAGCGTTGAACAGCAAAAATGTAGAAAAAATGATGTCCGTTAAAATATTGTAAATTTAAGTGCGACCGTTAGATTTTGCTAAGTGATTAGCGATATACCTTCAGCTATATGCGATTGAATGACCGGGCAATAAATTGACCATCACTTCACTATTTTTTTAGCTATTGAAAGCAAGACGGTGAATACGCACGAGATCACAGACAGGAAAAGGTGAGAAATTAACGGGACATTAGTTTTGTCAGTTGCAAAAGCTGACTTTAATTTTATTTAATTAGATATACATGCTTCCAATATAGACATGATACTCGGAAGTAATTTGTATTTATTACCTGAATTTGTCTTATAAATGAGCATGTGCTCTGTAGAAAAGAATACTTATATTCATTTTTATGTACAAAATGTATTGTTTTATGAACGTGCGATGACATGTGAAAATTAGTACTATAAATTGATTTTTCATTAATACTGTGCGTCCATGCCCGTTTAACTCAAAGATTATTTAAAACTCGTTTCATCTTCACAAACGAAGCCTGGTTATAGTTACATGATACAGAGACCCATGCACCACCGGGAATACTTTCAGAAAGAATTACTATGCTTGTTGCAATTTGTATTTATTTTGCGACGTCATGAAGCTTTTTTTATTGTATTGTTAGCATGCGCCTGGTTGTGTACCCCTTGTCATTTGAAATTTGTAAACATATTGTATATATTTTTTCACTGTGTATCGATATCTGTCTCTCATAATACTTTGTACGTAAATTAAAAATGTGATCCAGTTTTATTACTTTATATGCAACTCTCGAATATATGTTAATTGTAGCTCGTTGGCTGTGAAGGTTTTTTGACAATTTCAAAAAATAGATCATAGAATCGTGATGCTAGTGTTATAAAATTTACCACATATATTTTGGTGTTGATAAAGAATATGTATTTTAGATTTGAAGTAAATACCTCAAAATAATCTAAGTTAAAGGGAGATAATGCTAAAATATTGGCCCTGGAGTATTTTTACGTTCATCCCTTAAGAAATAAATTATTCATAGTATTGATTGGCAGTATTGACCTGAGACTCATTAATTTTCGGAAGCTTTTTCGTAAGTTTCCGTAATTTATTCCGATAAACTAATTGTTTTTAATGATAGGAATGTTGTCCATTCTTTATTTCAAACTAACGCCATGATGGCCTAGTGGTAGACTGATAGCATAGCAATTGCGAAATTGCAAGTTCGAATCCTTTACAAATATTTTTTTCTCAGATTTAATTATAATATATATGAAACATTAATGGGTGAATCAATTTCTTTAATTTCTTTAATTTCTTATTTTTTTTCTTTTAAAAATAAATCATAACTTTGATAAATAGATGTGTATTTGTAAAGTCTCATAATTTCAATGTTTACAGTCGTATAATTGGTGACTGAAATGCACGAAATCTTAGTAGTAGTCAAGTTTTGCAAAATGTAATTGAAAAAACATAAATAATAATGTTTCATTGAGATTCGAACCTGCAACCTTCACTTTGAAACCAAGAGTCTTAACTCCTTATCTACGAGGCTAATTAGGCAAGTGTTGTGTTGGTAACTTTAAGTTATTCATAAACCATGTAAACCGTCATGCCTTACTTTAAAATCCGAATGGTTTACTTCGGAATCCGACAGTTACAAACAAAAGGTCATTGAATATTCAAATGTCTCAGGCCAATATTGCGTAACAATAAGATATAACAATTGTTCAGAAAAATAATTCTGGAAATATGGATAATATAGTCATTCACCTTACATTATATGATGTTGGTGATGACACAAGGATCATACATACACTTGAAGTTTCAAGTCAATCATTCAATAAAAAAAAATACCTCACAGTAAGATACAACAATTTTCAAGGAAAATTTTGAGTTCGAGGGAGATAATTCTGAAAATAATGTTGCAAGAGTTATGAACTAATGTATTTTTATAACGTCATTTTAGTGTATATGATAATTATTATAATCTTTATATGAAATGAAGGAATACTATATCGACTGGTTAAGGTCGTTGACTTCAAATCAGTTGTCCCTCACCCGTGTGAGTTCAAATCCTGACATGGACTTTGAATTTTTTATGTAAGCAAGCTATCTGCAGTGTAGCAATACCACGTGACCTTGACGTCATTTTCGGCATCATTTCCAAAACAAATAATGCTCGATTCGGACAGGAAAATAGCCGTTAGTATTTTACCAAAACGTGACACCGACATGGACGCTTGGGTTAGTACAAAAACTTTCCTTTTTGCGCGGATAGTCTAGTTAAAAACAAGAGATTTAGTTAATTTTGCATCTTCACATACCATAAACAGGAAACCATAGAAATGCGGAATTATTGCGCAACTCAAAATCTTTCCTTATCAGTATTTTTTGCTTCAAATACAAATGCTGAAATTTTTGGTGGATGTATAATAACATCGGATACTGCCCTTAACCTGTTAACATTGCTTACTGTATGTGAACAAGGAAACTTACTAATTTTAGGTTCAAAACATTGACGTTATATATACATGTTCAGAGTCCTTGTCAATGTTAATCAATATTGATCCGACATAATCGATTCTATTATCATTTATATGACTATTATATTTAACATCGTTTATTAATGAATGAACATGAATTCTGTCCGATTCTGTTGAAATAAGTGCACGAAAATGGCATCCAGTTTACACCCAACACCGTCTAAAGGTCATGTAAATATTTTATATAACTTTAAATGTAAGCAATATTTAAATTTTCAACAAGACTATAAACTTATTTTCTAATTATATTTATTGATTATTAAACGTGCTTATTTTTTGTTTGATCTTTACACTTAATCGTCGTTTAAGTCAGATACAATTACTCGTATTTTCTTCAAAAATGTCTTCTCATATTTTACCAGCACATTCAAATAACAATTTGAAAAAGCAAATTTACTTAACCAATTTTTCCAATCACAATCCTCACTTGATGATAAAAATAAGTCTTTACCAAACTTTCATGTACATCAAAATATTAATAAACTTGACACAATAAATATAACTTATGATGAGGTACGTGATACTCTTAAAACTCTCAATGTTGGTAAAGCATTAGGACCTGATAATATCAACAACAGGATACTAAAGGAATTGTCAGAAGAACTCTCTGTACCTCTCTGTCATCTTTTCAGAAAATCATTCACAGCTTGTAAAGTCCCTTCACAATGGAAGCTTGCCAATGTATGTGCAGTCTACAAGAAAGGTGACCCGTCAATTGTTTCTAATTACAGACCTATATCACTTCTTAGCACGATCAGCAAATCTTTAGAAAAAAATATACATAAGCATATATTCAATTTCTTTGTTGCTAATAACACAATAACTTCATTACAATCTGGGTTTGTTACCAATGACTCAACAACAAATCAACTTGTTTCTATATATAATACATTTTGCAAAGCCCTTGATGATGGAAAAGAAGTGAGAGCTGTCTTTTTGCGATATTTTCAAAAGCCTTTGATCGTGTCTGGCATAAAGGTCTCATTTTCAAGCTTCAGTCTGCTGGAATAAATGGTGGGCTTTTAAACTGGTTTAGTGACTATCTCAGTGATAGAAAACAAAGGTGGTTCTTCCAGGCGGTTCCTCTCAAACCGTTTTTATTTCAGCCGGAGTTCCTCAAGGGTCCATTCTAGGCCCTCTTCTCTTTTTAATCTATATAAATGACATTGTTCTTGACATTAACTCATATATCAGACTCTTTGCAGACGATACAAGTTTATATATCATTGTTGATAATCCACTTCATGCTGCGGTGACTCTTAATTCTGATCTGAAAAAAATTACAGAATGGGCAAATGGTTGGCTTGTAGACTTCAATCCAAGTAAAACGGAATCAGTAATTATCTCTCGTAAAGTAAACAAACCAATTCATCCCCCATTGACAATGAACGGAGTGCAAATAAATGAAGTGACCTCACACAAACATCTTGGAGTAACATTTTCTAATGATGGAAATTGGCATTCTCACATACAAAATATTACCAAAAAAGCCTGGCAAAGAATTTATATAATGAGATCTTTGAAATTCATTCTTGATCGTAAGTCACTTGAAACTGAATATCTCTCTTTCATTCGGCCCCTTCTGGAATACTCGGATGTTGTTTGGGACAACATAACTCAACAAGATGTATTTGAACTTGAAAAAATACAACTTGAAGCCTGCAGAATAATAACCGGTACAACAAAACTAGTTTCTATCTCTAATCTTTATGAAGATACTTGCATCCAACCCCTTAAAGTAAGACGCTACAAACACAAACAAATACTTCTTTATAAAATGTTTAATAATCTTTCTCCTCATTACCTCTCTTCATTAGTTCCCGATACAGTAGGAGAATCTTCAGATTAAAATTTACGAAATGCAGACAACACTAGAAATATATTTTGTCACACACAACTTTATTCTCATTCATTTTTGCCATCATCAATTAAAGACTGGAACAATCTTCCTGTTAATTACAGAAATTCACCATCCATTTCAATTTTCAAAAGTAGACTTAATGAAGATGTTCAAAGTGTGCCTTCTCATTATTCTGTAGGTGAGAGAAAATACCAGATTATACACACACGACTTAGAACACATTGTAGTTCTCTCAAAGAACATTTGTTTTCAAAAAACATAATAGAAAGTCCCCTATGTGAATGTGGTGACATAGAAAACACATCTCATTATTTCTTCTCGTGTCCAAGGTACCAAGATAAACGAAATGTCCTCCTTAATAATTTAAGTGAAATAACAACTGTCACACTTAACGTTTTACTCTATGGTGATAATTCAATTGCTGACGATTTAAGTGAAGCAATAGTCCTTCATATACACTCATATTTACACAGAACAAAACGTTTTGAAATGTAATAGAAAGTTATTTTTTCGACTAATATGAAATAGAGATTTAGATGCATAATATCTTCTCAAAAGTATATTGTAAACTCGTTCCATCAACTCCATAGTATTTTAGTGACCATTCCTGTTGTCTTTCTTTTTCTTTCTCTCAAATCTGTCTCTTATTTCCTACCATCTATTACCCAACAATTTCAACAATTAACTAACGTTTCCATTTCTTTATTTTTCTTTAATTTTTTTTAAAACATGCTTAAAAGTTCTATTATTTTTCTTGAAAAGTTTAAACGTGCTAATCTGTGCATTTATCACTTACGTGTATTTATGCTATAGAACTATAGGGTTTTCTTTCACATTTTTATGTCAATATTCTATTATTAAGGTCGTTTCGATTAGAAAAACCAGAGTGTAAATTGCTAACTTTCCTGTACATGTAAAGAAGCAAGTTTATAGTGAAAATGTTATGTATATTTAACTCAAAAATGCATATAATTGTTACCATTTTACATACTGTTTGAGATAGTGATTACGGAAAGAGTTTTTAAAAAAGCTTTCAAGCTTACTACTCAATCCGTACTATTTATTATTTGTCAATTATCAAGTAAATGTAATACTTATAAATAAAATATTGTTTAAACTAAATAACAATTTATCCTCTTCGCCTCGGACAATTTGTTGTTTTTCCTAGCAAACGTTCTTCCTACCTCTGTAAGAAGACATTTTTAAAGAAAAATTCATACTTCATCCATTCCATGATGCTGTAATTCGATAATTGTGATTTTCTGTTTGTTTTAACACATTAATAATATTTATATTTTTTATGGAATACAATGTTCTAAGAATTAATGGTTTTTGTATTATATACATGAAACATATCTGACGTCGAATGAAAATAATCAATTTCATTATGAACTCGTGCTACAGAGAAATGTTGCGACAAAAACACACTCTACATTTACAGTAAGAAGCCGATACTAGTATATCCTAAATGACAAGTCACACAGCACACGAAACTTGATATCTATAATTTGTTATTATCATAACGGCCTACATAAAATCGGTAAATGGTTAGGGCCTTGTGCTTTTCTCTAATAACTTTTAAAGATAACCTTTTCAGATAAAAAGTAATTAATGAAAGTGCAACAACAGTTATTTCCGATTTGGTTCACATATCTAAACCTTATTATATCAATACAAAAATATTTATTACTTTGACTGTCAAAAACAGACATTTAAGTACATATAAGTATTGGTTTGCACAAAGAGAACATTGAAGGGGAACTCAATGAAGACTTTTAAAGCTCGGTTTAGGTATTTTAATCAGTATATTATATGCAGTATCATTTTCAATATCTAGTAATAGAATTGACAGAAACACAAAGGACATTGTAATGCATGTTGTGCTGGCATTCATTGTATTGAATGAAAGTGTTTAAGGATATGGATATGTTTTATATATCAAAATAACCGCGACAAAATAAACAGGATTATTACAGAAAACACTTTTCATAACCTGAAAATGGTTAAAATCAACGAAGACATACTACTCACTTTATTTGTAACATTTGCTTTTATCTCAATTTTGCATGCAGCATCTATAAATGACACCAAAACTCTACTTTCGGATCTGCTTACTGACTACAATAAGGAAGTGCGACCAATACAAGACCAGTTTGCTGCAATAAATGTAACGATCATCGCACATATGAAAAGTATTCAAGAATTCGATGAAGTTCAAGAGAAATTTTCTTTTGTTGGTGCTTTGGTAGTTACATGGCTAGATGCAATTATGGTTTGGAATCCAAACTCTTACGGAGGACTTAGGCACCTTCCGGTTTCATACAAAGACGTTTGGGTTCGAGAACTAATTCTATCCAGTCCGTCAAAAGCAGTGAATACCCTCGGCAAAAGCTGGAATAAAGTGAGATACTACGCTAATGGATTAGCTGTTTGGGTTCCAGTCGATCTGATCGAAAGCACGTGTTCAGTGAATGTCCAAAACTATCCATTCGATACTCAAGAGTGTATAACTTCTTTTAACTCAATGGGATACGAAGAAAGTGAAGTGCTTCTTATTCCCGGCCAATCCGAATTTGATTTAAGTATTTATCAAGAAAATTCTCTTTGGGCAATTGCCAAAACAAAGGTTAATGTACAAACTGTTGGCGCTTCGTCCCAGATTGACCTCGTTGTGTCTTTGAAACGGAAGCCGTCATTTGTCGTTATAAATGTTATTCTACCAATTCTTTTTCTAAGCCTACTCAACACTCTGGTATTTATACTTGTTCCCGAATCCGGAGAGAGAGTTTCGTACTGTGTCACTGTTTTGCTAGCTGTTGCCGTGTTTATGACGATTGTAAGTGACATGCTTCCACGAAGCTCGGAACCTGTTCCTCTGATTTCATATAAACTGATGATGGATATGATAATAAGTTCTCTAATAGTTGTGGTAACAATACTCAACCTCCGAGTTTATAATAAAGATAAAAGTAGACCAGTACCACCATGGCTTCGATCTTTATACCGCATTTTAACTTGCCGAAAATGTAAAAATACAAAAGTTTTCCCCTTGAAGAGAGATAACAATTCTTCCAAAATTAAAGATGCGACTCAAGATAAGGGTAGCGAGTTTCACCACCTCAAAGACGCAATTAAAAAGGTCGACGACATAACGTGGAAACAGATTAGTTTCATGATCGACTGGATCTCCTTTACTTTGTTCACCACTGCTTCGATTCTCAGTTTTATCTGTTTTGTTGCAACTACGTATAGTAACTAGATGTGCATATGTTTGAGTATATCGGCATAAGCTTTTAAAGTAGGATACACATTTTCACGTAGTAAACAAATGCACGAAATAAATTTACATTATTATTGTGTGGTTATTTTCATATCCTTCGCAGCCCGGCAATGTGTAACACACATTTAAAAGTTCAGTGTTACAAGTTGAACATTGTAATAGTTTGGTTGTATTTTTTACTGTAGTATAGAAGTTGGTTGGCTGAACGAAATGAGGGAAGTTGTATTGGTTGACTGGAAGAAGAGAAGTTGTATTGGTTGACTGGAAGGAGGAAAGTTGTATTAGATTGCTGGAAGGAGAGAACAAGAGAACAAGTTGAATATGTTGACTGTAGGAAGAGAAGTTGTATTGGTTGACTAGAAGAAAATACAAAAGTTGTACTGGTTGATTGCAAGGAGAGAAGTTGTATTGGTTGAATGCAAGGAGAAAATTGTATTGGTTAACTGCAGTAAGAGAGATTGTACTGGTTGACTGCAAGGAAAGACAAAATTGTATTGGTTGACTGCAAGGAGAGAAGTTCTATCGGTTGACTGCAAGAAGTGAAGTTATACTTTGTGACTGAAATGAGAGAAGTTGTATCGGTTGACTGAATGGAGAGAAGTTGTATTGGTTGACTGCAAGGGGAGATGTTGTATTGGTTGACTGCAGGGAGAGAAATTGTATTGGTTGACTGCAAATTAGTTGACCGAAAAGTGACAAAATGCATTATAGATAGTTTTATTCTGGTAATAAAATACATATCATAAAACAACTACAAATTCAATGTCAACATCAAGAGATACATGTGGACATGAAGGTGCATTTGTTGATGCCATATATTCAATACCAAGGATGACACAAAAAGAAGGCTTAAAGCCGATTTATTTCTAATGCATTATTTGTGAAGTTGTTAGGGTTGACTGAAAACTAGACGAAAACTTGAAATGCGTTGTACACCTAAAAGTTGAGAGGATGACCAAGTTCATATTGTGTAATGCTGGATTAATTGCATGAAACTCTAAGAAACAAAAAGACAATATGTTACAACAGTCACTTATTCATGGATAAAACAATGAATTTAAGGAATTTTCATTTCAAGGAATATTCACATTTAACAAGTTACTCGTAGCATTTAGATAAGGAGTATTTTAGGGTTACTTGATTCTCACTTATTTCTTTTCACTCTAATTGAATTTGAATTAAAAATAAATCAAACTGATATAGCATTTTTTTGCTTTAAAACATAATAAACTGTTTTGTTAACATAACATATTCATCTATACATTTAAAATGTATTGAATGTTTGTTTAATGTTAGGGTTATAGATATACTTTCCGATCAATGCTTGAAAACAAAGTATATATCAATGAACCCTATTGTGTACCTTTCACACGAACTGTGCGTACCTTTTGCATGCTAAGTTTTTTGGGTTTTTTGCTACTGTTCTGTACAAGCATTTTGTGGAATATGTAGAATGACAACTGTATAATAAAACTGAACATGATCTTAGAATATGATAACAGAATATTGCAAGTGTAAAATTCGGGGTTCACGGAGCTCATTTTTGAGATCATGCCAATCATAAATCACTTCAAGTATACAGTATTTATTCTGTCTACAAGCCTTGTTGCACCGTAAACAGATTACGACGTGTGTAATTTTCTGGTGTTGATCAATATTCCTACCAAGATATCAAAACAAATGAGTTTGTTACTGAACGAAATTTATATACATTTATGCAAAAACCTTTTTTTCGAAATTGGATGCGCGTATCCTTAAGTAAACTGTATACATTATAATTCACTGTAAGCTGTATAACGCATACAACTCACGTGTAAGCTATATACGGCAAAAGCTGTATACGTTTCAACAAGCCCTGCACTTTGGTCTGTCTAAGTTTTGTCGCTTTTGCATTGCTGATAAATATGTTTTATTAAAAAATGAGAACGTATATTGTATTAGAATTTGCGTTGAAAGATTCGGAAAACTACTAGAATTCGAATATTTTGTATTTTCAATTAGAGAATCGTTAAATAACAATAAACCTTTAAAACACCGCACAAGTTAACTCTAGTTATATATTGCATTACGCTTGATGTATTTAAAGTTAAATATACCTTTTATACTAAAAAGACATTTAAAAAAAAGTTTAAGCTTGTTGAAAAGACGTTCTAATACATAAAGAAGTTAAATACAAACGGACCACTTTAAGGATTTTATTGAATCAACATAACATAAAGTAAATGTAAATAATATTTGCTCAATTGTATATATATAATGAGTTCAGCGGACTGGATAACGTGCATTAGTCTACTTCGGGAGCTTTTGATATAAACATTTCGAAATTATAATGGGTGTTCTATTGTAATAGTTTTTATCTATATAAAAAAACTTGGTTTATACCAATAGCTTAATAACTTTCAATTTCTTATTGACCATCAAGTTAAAAAATTATAAACAGGTAAAGAGTTTCTATCACAGAGATTAATTATGTTTTGATGTTTTGCAGATAAACGTATAGCCGCGCCATGACAAAACCAATAAGTGCGTTTGCGACCAGCATGGATCCAGACCAGTCTGATCAGGATCCATGCTATTCGCTATCAGTTTCTCTACTTGTAATAGGGTTGGTAAACGAACAGCATGGATCCTGATCAGACTGCGCGGATACGCAGGCTGGTCTGGATCCATGCTGGTCGCAAACGCATTACGTTGGTTTTGTCGTGACGCGGTTCATATAATCCCGTACGTGATATTTGAATGAAGATGACGTAAAGGATTTGCATGAACTGTGCACATCATAATCTAAGGCAATCGAGACTATTGATAATTAAGATATTGTTTATGTCAAACAGTTTGAAGCTTCTGCGGCTTTTTATTCTGGCTGTGTCATTTTGAATGGAATGTTTTTCTCTTTCCTTTACTACTTCGGTTCATTTGCCCTGTACTACATCAGCATATTCAAGAAGTGGGCTAAAAATATGAAAATTGCATACATTCAAAATATATTCGTAATGATAAAAGTGTTAAATGAATTAAATTATATAGGGCTTAAAGTAATGTATTTAACTTAATTGTAAATACGAGCTTTTACCAAACGGTCATCATTAGATATAGTTACATCAAAAATGCGTATAGGGAGTTACTTGAACTATATATATCAGAGCAAAAAGAAATAGGACTAAGAGTCTTGAATCTTATGATATTTGTATTCAGTATGTATTCAGAGTTTAACTATACGGCATTTTAATTAGTTCAGTAAATCCCTAATGATGCAAACAGCATAATAACAGCACAAACACTCGTGCTTGCGTAAAATATGTCAATAAATCACAAAAATCTAACATGATTCCACAGTGAATTTTATTTCAAGGGTACGTTGGCTTTTTAACCTTTAATCTGCTGACAATGAGTAGCCTTCAAGCTTTGTCAACAGTATAGAACCGGGGCAGTCTACATATCTGAACAGTCTGTCCAGGCTATATACTGTAGATTGCTTACTTGTTTTATTTTGTTGTTAAAAGCCCTTAAATTCGCAAGGACCACTACAAATTCAAAGCAAAACAAACTCATTTCACAAATTCAATAATATTGGCTAAATGTTATGTCAAAATGGTGAAACCTAAGGCTTTTCGAAATGAAACAATATGTTAATAAAATTATTTTTATTATTATTATTATTTCAGTCATATTAATGCTATCAATAAGATCATTCAAAATAAAAATGAATGTCCCCTAAACACACATTCTTTTGAATATGAATATCGTAAAAATGACAGCGCCATATTTATAAATGAAAACTACACTTTTAATTTGACTGAGTTTGCTCCTGTAAACACCGAAATCACATCTTTCTTACAACTACAAAATGACTGACAGTAAAGGAATCTAATAGAGAGAAAATCAAACAACGCAAAGATAAGGTACGAGTATAGGACGATCTCCGGACACCCGTTGTCTAGCTCGTTGAACTTTCTAGTAAATTATATCATATAAGATATATACACAGACTATCAAGTATTATATATAAAGGTTTTAGATAACGAAATTTCAGTATTGCAGCATGTTTTAAATTATGTGCATATTTCTTTTATAATGACAACCATACAAATCAAACTATGAATCTAGTGCTGCTTATCTCATTGCTAATGATACTCTGCAACAGAAAAAAAAACTGTTTGATTAAAAGCTATAACGACGATGCCACTAGCCTAAAGTCATAATACAGATTTGTTACCTACGAATAGAAATAAGCCACGTCTATAACAGCGCACATTTTTATCTGCGTTTCAAATTTAGGAAGCTTATTTTACAATGTTGCGGTTAATTTGAGACAAGTTTCGGCTCCTTCCAGATCATATTAAACTCACTTGATAAAATACAGTACAACTTCTTTAAAGCAACACCCTTTAGGAGTAAAAGTTTTGGTTACTGCAGCGTTCCTCTATAGATAGGTTAATTATACAAATATTTAATCTATTGTGAAGTTTTATTTATAGGAAGAATTGATACTGTCGTAAACAGGTGGTTGCTTTAAAGAGGACCGCTCATCAGTGGTTGCACTGTATATATTACAAGACAGTTGAATGTAAACATGTAATATTGCAACTGTGTATAATAATGTTATAGTTTTACAATATTTACAACATTGATTATTGAATTCCATTTCCTTAAACAAAGTTTTATAAACCTCATGGTTTATCAAATTTCTACTAGGCATGAACAGTGACGCTGTTATTCCTTGCAGCTTCACAACACCGGTCATGAATATTTAAATATAAAAAGCAAACAAGACCAAAGCACGTGAATGAAAATTGAGATAATAAGCCATACAAATAAGCATAACATAAATAAATAAATATATTCTTAATTAAAATAAATTAGTAACTTTCCAAATGAGAATTTGATTGATTAATTATTGACTGATTTATTTTACCAAACACACAATATAACAGGTAACAGTTATAGATTTTATATCGTTACAAACGAGTTGATATAAATCAGAAAATAAAAGAAATATTTTCATTATTTTTTTGTATAAATTTTCTATCATTTTGATATGATCACATCGATCGGTTTATTAAGTCTTACTGAATAATTTATAAAATTATTATGACGGCTGTGGAGAGGTGTGTGGGATATTTTTCTTTTTTTCTCGCGCAGCTTCGATTGTATCTATTTATCTGCTTCTTATGGGTCTAAAATTATCCGGACACTTTTAAATGGATGATGATGAATGTTTTATAAATTTACTTTTTGCATGTTTACAATCCAATGGTTCACCATACCTAGGAAACACATCAAACAAATTGTAACTAAATTTGTTCATTACTAAAAATATGAAAGGTTAGTCCATATTTTTCTTTTCTGGAAATTAATGAAATGGTTTTTAACTTTAGACCCATACTTTTTAAAAAAATAAATCTGGTTATTTGAAAAGCGAGAAAAGCTGGAAAAAATTGTGATATTAGCTTAAACATAATACGAAACAATTTCTTGCCACTTATATTAATCGCTTTCGAGTCTGCTTATCGGAACTACCCAGTACTGATGCCAAATGAAAAAATATGGTCGTGACCTGAATAAGCTCGAATTCATGCTTTCATTGCTTGAAAAAAAAACATCAATTTAAATGACAATATATGACAAATATACAGAAATGATCACACGTGTAAAATACAATATGTAATATTAAGAACATTAAGAATACAATTCAAGCAATAATGATTAACTTATATCTATTTGTATTGCTAATTATAAAACGAGTAGCTTTTTCTGAATTGACATGTTCACTGTCACCTGATTTAATTGATTATATATATTTCATCATAAGCAAACAATGTTACATTTAAATTTGTCGACAGAATTGCATATATAGAAACACTGTTTTCAAATCAAAATGATTAAACTTTGTTGGTTTCATACATATGTAATGGAATAATTGGCTTATTAAATCATATCCTGCTAAATTTCTTCAGTTTCTTTGCTCTGCTTTGAATTTCAGTCAGCTCATCCAAAGTATAAGGGATATCAATATCAAAACACAACAAATAAAAGCTTCTAACGGCTACAAACCCTAATGTATTATCATGTTAATCTCTTTCCTTTCCGGCATTTAAGGGTTAACATTATGATATAAAAACATCAGGTAAAACGAAACACCGAATTCTTAATTTCGTCCTTTTTGTTGTTGTTATTTCTTGTTGTTGTTGCTTTTGTACTAAAACAGTCATTTTTTTTAAATTAATTCATTTTATCTTATTCGCAATAGTGTGTCAATTTATACTTCAGTTTTAATTTTCTTACATTAAATTAAACATTAAAACGAAAGTCAAGTTTAACAAAAACATGTCATATTTTATAAATATATGTATGTTTATGTCATATACAT